AGAGTGATGCCATGATTTCCCCAATAAGACGGCCAAATGCAGCACCTGGAAAACATTACCAGGGATTATGGAATTAGCATCTGCTGCACATCTGTGCTAGAAAATCACTAGCATATTTTCTAAAACCAGCAAAATCAAACCTTACATAAAGATGACGCTAGGGGCTAAAAGCTAGTGATCTCTTTCAGGAGAAGCTGCACTCCAAAAGAAGGAGAAGATGCATAAATATCATTGTAACCTCCCATATTTCTCCACTTAGGAGAAATACAGTCACAGAAGTATTTGTGATCCCAGAGAGGAAGAAGTATGTTTTTAAAGACATTAAATTTTTTTGAACATTTTGTGTAACATCAATCCAAATCATAGTTAAGGCTCTTTATGCACTCAGTTTATGAAAGTCCAGACATTAAAATCACTGTTTCAAAAAAGGCATTAGGTGGAAAGGGACCTCTGCAGGTCTCTGATCTGACCCTTTGAGATCAGGCAACTTCGGTCTTTGTCCAGGCAAGCTTTGAAAGGCTCCAAGGATGAAGATGCCCCAGCCTTTCTGAGCACCCTAGCCTTCTCTTCTCCATGCTGAACAAGCCCAGCTCCCTCAGCATGTCCTTGTTTGTTAAATGCTTTAGCTCCCCAGCTATCTCAGTGTCACTTCACCACTCCTGCACTTGGTCAGTGCCTGTTGTACCTGAAATGGCACAGTATTCCAGAATGGTATCCCAAGGGTTGAATAGAGGGGAATAACCACTTCCCTTGCCTTTCTGGCTGATCTTTTTCTAATATAACCTACTTCATGATTAGCTTTCATGCAAAGGCACTCTGCTGACTCATGTTCAGTTGCCACTTAACAGTACGCACAGGTTCTGAACACAATTGATTACATTTGAGTTATGGATACTTAATTCCATGAGCTTGTGTTCTTTAATCTAAAATAGCTTTTCTTTCTTAACTGCAGTATTGGTATCTTTTTTTCATCTTGAAATTAAAAATAATTAAAAATCAATGAATGTGTCAGCATATTACACACAGAAGTAATGAGTAAGTGCTGGATTACATTGTTGCTACTAGTTTTGAACTTGTCTCCTAGCTGGTCTTCAGGTGGGAAAGGAGCAGCTATTACTAATTATGTTAGTTACCATGCTTCCCATAACTTGGATTTCCCTATGTAAAAGGATTCCCTCAGCATTTGAACCCACATATCTGGAATACAGGACAGAAGCAGGGGCTCATAGGCTGGCATTAGGACTGTTAACAGAGATGGCATAGACACAAAGTGGTTACCAGACTCCTCATCCTCTCAAAGAATCCTACTGTCTAATCTACTCTGTCTGGTAGACATATATCCTGCAACAGAAATTCAAACTCACCCAGAACAAAAACAGGCATGAAACCTCCACAGGGTATTGGCATGGTGGTGGCAATGACGGACATCCAGAACTAGAATAGAGGTAAAGGGTAGGATTGTTAGTGAGCCGTGATAGTATTTTCTGCAGTCCCACTCTATTGCCCAGCCTATGAATCTATAAAGATATATATTCTCGGGGAGCTGGCAGCTCAAGAAGAAAGTAAGGGCAAATGGACTATGGGGAGTGAAAAGATCTAGAAAAACTCCAGCAACACACCAGCAGAGAGGCAGAGGACCTCCGGGTAACTAATATGATAGCAGTGAAGTCACAAAGGCCAATAAATCAACATGGAGATTTCCTTTGCCTACGAATTTGGAAAGTGAGATTTCCCATGCTCCCAACAGCTTTTTTTTTTTTTTTTTTTTTTAATAGAATATAGACTTACAGACAAATTTAGGTAGGAAAGGATCTCTGGAGGTCTCTCCTCCAACTCTGCTCTCAGGAGAGCTAACTCAAAACTTGGATCAAGTTGTTCAGGGCTTTGTCCACGTGATTTCTGAACGTCCCAAGAGTGGAGATTTACCAGCCTTTATGGCTTGAGCCAGAGCTCAACCATTTTCAGAAGAGATTTTCTTTCCAGATGTTCCAGTGTAGTAACTTTCCTTTATTACAGCTCGTATACATGGTCTCTTGCCCTCTTACTGTGTTGGGCACAATGATAAAAACTGGTATGGTAGTGCTGAGACCCTGCTGAATCCTGCACAGGTAGTTCAGCCCAGAACATGTTGTTTTCTAGAGGCAGCAGCTTAACCTCACATATACTGCAAAGGCCAATAAGCTCAGCTCTTTTCAGACAATGTAGCAAGCAGTTTTCATAGTCAAGGAATAAACAGAGAATACTGTTATTTCAATAGTTAGTACAAAGGAATGTACTGGTAAAATCTCCTTTGCTACAGCAGTACAATAGTCTGTAGGGAAGAGGCAACCATAGTGCAGCACATCAAGAACAATACTCTCAGGTTTCCCTTTTAGAACTAGAAAACTGTATGCTCTTCAGGTGGGGCAGTGCCTTCCTGCTGTTCAAGGTCCACTTTTGAGGAGGAGATACCTCTGCAGAAACATTTGTAGCTATAGATAGATGAGATGCTGATTTCCTTAGAGAGGCACTTTAGTGAGAGGAAATAAAACCAAGAGAGCTTTCTCTCTTCTAGAGAGAGAATTTCTTCTAGAGAGAGAATCTTCTAGAGAATTTTCTTTATAGTTGGCACAAAAGGAAAAGAAAAAAAAAGAAAAAGAAAAAGAAAAAAGAACACAAGAAACAGCTTTCCCTTTAGGAAAGCTCTCTGCAAAGACGACAAAGAATAAGTAGAATGCGTCTTACAGCCCGTGATCAAGAAACATTCTGGGGCAATGGGCTGGACCATCTATTTGATATTTGTTATTACTCTTCTGTCCAAAAGCCATCTGATCTTTTAGTGGAGAAGTTCCTGGTTGGCTACAAAGTCACTGAAGCTGTAAAAGGGGAACACTGCCAACTGAGCTTCTCCTGTTATGTCAAACCAAGGCCAGATGCATCTGAGAACTGGGACTATGGTGCGGTGGAGAATCATGCCAAATCTTTGCCCAGAGTCAAAACAGCTGGTTCTTTTTCTATATGATCTATCCCAGTCCAAATATATTCAGAAAAAAAAATGGCTTGGAGCAGCTATCTAGTCATTTGACAAAGCATTAGTAATTTTCTAGTGACAGCAATAACATGGAACATGGCCAACAAACCTAGATTTTCAAATACAGATCTTTTAACGGAGAACAGATGGAATCAGAATAGATAGATCCTGTAGTCCATCCACCTTTCATTCAGATAAGTAAGATCATATCTTCTTGATACACTATAAACAGAATTATCATAGGAACGAAACCCTGAACTGTCTGTCAGAAATTGGATACAGTGTTTTTACTTTAGGTGTAGTCAACTGTGTCAATCAGACATTAAGTTCTGATCTGCCAAAATGTTTGATTGATATCGCTAAGTTGTCTCTGCGCTTTCACACCTTCATAACAAAGTAATTCCCCATTTCTGTGCTATTCTTCCCTCTTTCCTCTTTATTTTTTTTGCTTTTAGGAAAACTTTTCCTGCTACTTGAATTTTGAACAATAAGTTTTTCTTCTTTCAAATCTCTTGTCTTGCTCTATCATGTATCTGTTACACAGTTGATTTTTTCAAAGCCCGAACAGTTGTAGTTTCCTAAGACTGTATCAGCCAAGAACATTTAATTTCCTATTGCTTTCCCAGAAGTGAGCAAAACTGGGCTCAGCTGAATTTCTTCATGAAATTGCAGTGCAATTAGCAAATCCTGCAGCCTAATGAACACATAAAACGTACTTGTATGGTTTTGTTAGACTCCTGTCTATAGTCAGGAATATGAAGCACACAGTATCAGACTTAGACTACATATAAATTACCAGAAAACTTTTTACTCGGTAACTTATTTTCCTGGACCTTGAGAAATCTATCCTGATACAGTGGATCCTGAGGGTCATTCAACAGAGGCATAAGCAACTAGGAAAGAGGGAAGGAGGTCAGTAAATTAAGGTCAGGAAACCAATCCGTCATAATATTTGTCATTTTTCATTCAAAGTGGGCAAACATCACATCAAAAGATGTAAGACCTCACTCTAGTTGTAGTGCTTCATTCCATATCTGTCAGCATCAAATTGGCAGTGCACAAAATATTTTGAAAAGGATTGAGAATTATCGCTCTGACTGGAGAAAGGTTATGATGGTCTGTTTCCTACCTTCATGAGAAAGAAAAGGAGGATGATGATGAAGACGCTGACTTTGGGATGGATCCAGGCAGCAGATTTCCCTAGGATCTGGGGATCCCCCGTGTATTTTGCCCAGGTATAGTTATCAAAGAGAGAGCTGATGGCTTCCCGTGGCATCAACTAAATGGCAAGAAAACAGTGATGAGCCATGATATTATTTTAATTAATGTTCTAACTCTGTTCCTACAAATTGGGGCAATTTTTAGTTCTAGGCACGATGATTATGAGACTTTACTTACATTTTTAATCTTCAGAAAGAGAGATAGGACTTTACCTGAACTGCGGAAATGATAATAACTACTTTTTAATATACATGAGGTAATGTCTTATTAATTTGCTTAGGAAAGCACACATTTTACAGATTTTATATAAAGGAGGTAGATCACGAGTCTCAGAATATAGTCCCTTTCCAGTTGTAACTGCTACAACTAACTGCTAAATTTTCTTTCCACTTTCCTGTACGTAAGCATTTTGGGGCATAGGAGAAGGGGAAGCTTCTCCCCAGAATTACACAGAATTGCAAATGCACGTCCCACTCTCACCTCTCCAGCCATGAACTGGCCAAACCCTGGAGGAAATGTCATTGTTGCTATAAGGAAGGTTATAACCCCTGGGTATATGAGGCGGCTGAAAAGAAAGAAGAGAAGTTTTTTAAATATAATGTCAACGTCACGTTTTTGTAGCACTATCTCTTCAGGAGTATGACTGCTATTTCTATGAATGATATCTGCTAAAACTGCTCTAGAGTTCTATTGCTGACAATTTAATACCCTGCTACACTGATCATCATCAGTCTTTAAGAGTTTAACTGACAGTAAAGGAATTTTTTTTCCAATCACAGTTAATATAATGAGAGGGAGAAATGGATGCATGCAGGAATGTACGAAATGTGCAGAATTAAATATAAAAAGATGATGTGAACTTTCAATGACATACTGACCCATTCCCAAAACCTAGCATCTCCTGCAGTTGTCCTGATTATTCCACTTTTGCCTTCCAACCCCTGTGTCATATATCATGTCCTACTGAGTAAACGTAGCTATTCAATTTGGATATTTAAACATGGGTATTTCATAGATTTCTACATGCATTCCATCATTGCATTAATTCTTATGTGAATATTTTCTTTACTTTCTCTTGAATTGCTAACTGCCACAGTTGTGAGGGTCCGGTACAGCTGGATCATGTGGGACTGAAGCCATCCATATTTTGCCACCTGTGCGTCCAACCCCAAGCTGGGCTTCTGCAGGGGTATGCTGTGAGCCCTCTAAGGCACTAAGGAAAATGAACTTCACATGCTTGACTGGCATTGCCAAGCCCCCCTCTGACAAGTTACTATGTTCATTATGGAGTCTTCTGACTGAAGTGCCATGCTATTCAAGACATAGCACATAATCTTTAACTTATTGCAGTCTAAGAACCTATACTAATCTGAAAAATTAGTTGAAAAATTTCCTTGCTTTTCAAACTTCACTCCACTCCTGTATTTACTTTGTTATGGTTTTGATGATTCTGCAGGTACCTGCAGAAAATCCTACATAATAAAGACATATTTTTCTTCCACATCATAAATAAAGCTATTTTGAACTTCTTTTTAACTACAGATATTTTTTCTGCTCAGATATGCAAACTTTTAACAAATGTAGGTCCTCCATACCTCTCAACTTCAAAAATTCTCATAGCTTCACATTTCTTCTATAAAGAGACTGAAGATTTTTAAAATTAGACACATTTTATTCTTCAGCTTATTAACAGTATCTTTGGATTTTTTTGAACAAAAAATATTTAAGTGCTTTGTAAAACCTTTATTGCTAAGCAGAAAACTTAGCATTTTTTTCATGTTTTTCTTCCATGCAGCTATTCATATAATTTGGTTACTATCAGTTTTAGATTTGGGTTCTTCAGTATGCAGTAATTGGAATGCTGAAGCAGATTCTTTACATTTTTCTATATATTTTGGCTTAAAAAACATTTTTCCTTTAGATTTTTCAGATGCAGCTCCATTTCAGTTGTATCTAATTTTCTTAACATATAAATACTGTTGAATTCCTGGGTCGATTTTTGATTTTTCTTTTCTTTAATATATTCTAAAAAATAAGCAATACCTTTTGATTGATCTACATGATCACTGATTTTCTAATTAAGAACATTTTCTATCCAGTCCAGACAGCTTTCCCTGTCCTCTTAATAAATATTGCAGTAGAGTGTCCTTCTGAAATCAACAGGCTATTGAAATTATTGCAGCTGGTCAAGAAGAAAATTCAGCTTAGAACCGATGTACGTTTTCAGATATTTTTCTTTCAAATAAACTCAAATTCTCATACCATCTCACTACTCAAATATTTCTACTAGTTCAGAGAAAGCATTTGGCACTATCCAGTGCCAGTAGGACATCAAATCTGATCTCTAAAAGAGAGTATCCTCAAAAGTACTCACTATTTGGTAAGAAACTGGCTGAGAGCTGTATGACGCCGGATGCATAGGACCACTTGTCGATTGAAATAAACGAAAAATGCTCCAAGGAATCCAGAACATATCCTAGAGAAAAGGAAACGAAATAAAATCATACCAAACAAATACAACATGCAAATTATCATCCAGAAAACTGACTTGTCATATTTTTCTTCTTCAGCTGTTCAGGAATCCTTTTAAATTTTATTTAGAGGGTTGTTCCTATAGCAACTCACTTGAAGAAACTAGCTTCCTAATGAATGGAAGAGACCACTTTGGACCTCCAAGACAAACACATTCACACACTCTCCCATTTCACTGCTTAAAATTTTGCTGCCTAAATGGAGGAAATCCCGTGTCAGCAGGTGATGTCCAATTCCAGGACACAATAAGGATGCTTCTGAATTCTGCCTGTTCCTCTCCTTTTCTTTGCAGTTCCCTGGTCTATAAAGGTTTCTAAATATGCCTGCTGCATACACACACACACACACACACACACACGTATGCGCAAGCAGTGGAGAAATAAACTATGACTGTTGGCAGGACTGTTATCATGTGATGACACTTCCATTTGAGCTACAGCTTGGTTGAATATAGGGTTTATCCATAGTTTCACTCAGAATTAGTGTACTGAAAACTAACTATTGCATAAATTTCTGTGCATGTTTCTGATTTTGATCGGTCAAATACTTGGGTGATGAAAACAGTATCACTGCCTATAAAGAAAGACTGTAAGATCTTAGAAAAGATTAGAGAATCAGCCCAAAAAAGTATAGCTGTCTGTAAGAAATCATCCTTATAATCTGTGCCTTAATGAGACCTGGGTAAATAGGGCCTAATACTCAAAGCTGAAGTTAAAAAGGAGAGCTCTTTTCAAATCCGATAAGAGGAAATATTATTTTTGTGGCATATAATTGTCACATAATACTGAGAATAAATAAACAACTTTTTCATTCTTTATTTTTTTTTCTTTTTTTTTCATATGTTCAGCAGCTTTTTGCTTTAAATATCTCAATAAAATATGTTTTTAGTTATTTCAAAAAATAGAGTCACATTTTGAAAACTTCCTGCCATGAGTTTGGCTGTTTAAAAGTGTCATAGAAACAAATTATTTCTAACATAATGCTATTTACAGAAAACATAATGTGTCCAATGAACTTCTTCTAAATAATTTAAACTCTTACTTGTCAGCTGTACTTACTTGTACTGCTGAGCTAGACCAGTCCCTTGGGCAACATAAGCATTTGGTAGCTGCACAGTGAACTGAATCACTTTATAATACTTTGCATCAATAAAGCAAATCCCTCCACTCCTGCTTATCAGTTTGCTCCCAAAAATAGAAGCGCTTCTCTTGTAGAAGATCTACCTATCTGTACTGGTTGACTGGCTCAGATTTTTATGCTACCTGAAAATAAAGAAATAAGCTGGATACTGAAGCGAGAGAGACTGAACTTTAAGAGAGCTGTAGCATTCAATTCTTGAACTTTTTAAATTTTTCTTTTCAACACTATACTGGCCTTCCTGGCCTTTGAAAGTATTTCGCATCCATCCTGCTACACTCCCTTGCTAGCCTGTGTGCACTACAAAAACAGGTCTGCCAATTCAGTTCAAAAAAAATGACAACAGGTTTTGTATTTTATTAATGAGCAAGTGAAAGCATGCAAGTTTATTTAAGGATAAGGAGAACAAAGTGGATAAATATGATTAGCAAAACCTCCTGGTTACTGATAGATTTTAAATACATATGAAGTCTATAAAAATCCCCCTTGAGTTCTGCTGGCCAAGTAAATGATGCATGAGCAGCCTCCCAAAAGAAGATGGAAAATCCAAAGGAGTGGGAAAACCTGAACTATGCTTCTGGTCTTGGAGCCAGTGCCTCCCTCCAGCAAAGGGGATGGCCAGCACAAATAGTTTTTCCTACAATGTATTCTCCTCACTACTGTTCTGCAGTTATTTCCCTGGAGCCTTACAACTCTAACTCGAGAATTTTCCTAGCAGAAATTCCAAACTCAGATTTTTCTCCAATATTTCTCAATTCACTTCCCATTTTTTTCCCAGATTCTCTTTCATTTCCTAAGATTTTCACAAATTTCCACAAATGAAAACAACTCAGATATCCCAATAAACAACAACTGACACAGATCTTAATAACTGAGCCATTGTTCCCACTGCTCCAATTTCTATTCAGCTATTTTTTGCCAGCACCTTATGGTACATAGCTCTTTTGGAACGCATAACCATTCTGTTCCTGTAGAAGTCAAACTTCATGGTTAAATCTTTTGTCCCACCCTCACCGCCCCCAAATCCTCTAAAGTCTTTTTTTCTCTGATTTCCCTTGCTTGTTACTGGAGCATTAAGTTGTAATGTACTGATCGCGCAGATCTTAAGAAACTGCATATAATTTTATACCTATCCAAGCTAGAAAACACTTGGCCTTAGTCTCTAATGCAGAGATGCTCCAATATGGTAGAAAATAGTCATGCAAATTAGTCTTAATTTATTCTAACCCATTCTTCCCATTCTCCAGGCTGACAGAACATTTCTGCCTGGAGATGACCTTTCCATAGCAGAAGTCTCCAAAACACCACTTTCTCTTTTTTTTTTCTTCACCAACAGCCCTCATCTCTTCCAGGTCTGTGCAAATAAACTCAAGATAAAGAAAAGAACTACTGTCAAGCAAAAGGCTACACTGACTTGTTCAAGTCACCTGAGAATGCCACCAAAATGGTTAAAGGACCATTGAGTAAACCTATACCTGGAACAAATTCTGAGCTAGATTTTTCTTTCTGAGCTTAGTATCTGAAAAACGTGGGTGAAAAGGAAATGACAAACACCTAGTTACTACCTCAGTTTCCTTCTTTACCCATCTGTTTTCATGATACCTTTTCCTTAAGGCAGAATCCCGACAAGCAAAGGACTTTCTACAGAACTCATAGAATAACCTTCATACTGCAAGGAACTGAATCCCTGTAGACTTACCCTATTAAAGCAAATGCTGGCAGCTCTTGCAGATCAAAGGGGAAATCCATGCGAAAGTTAGTTCTGAACAGGGCTGTGATGGTGACTGTGTAAGAGAAGAAAAAGGCAGAGAAGGAAAGGGAACAGTGAGGTGAGATGCTAAATGCCATAAAGCTGGGGGTAGGGAGAGAGCAAATAGCTATATACATGTATAGTTGCATAATATTATATCAAGTATTTCAGGTGTGCACACTGCTCTGATTTTGCTACTAATTTCGAGCACTTGTGACCTCAGTAGTCTAGGTGGCATAGGTTTGTGTTCAGAGAATGTATATATTTTTAGCTACAATCCCAGATTTTTAAAGACTTTCTTTTTTTTTTTTCATTTTAGCTGTTCTTTAGAATATAAAAGGTCTTCCCATTTTGCTCACTGGCTCGATAAAAACTCTTTTTGCCAAGGCAGATAGTGCTCATATCCCTGGAGAATCCTTGTCACATACAGTTGTGATTGCTTTCTGAAAACGTAGCTCAGATCCTCTTTGAAGTTACATCTGTGCATTTTTTATGAGTGGTTCCAAAAGAATAAAACAGTCTTACAAACCAGAGATAGAAAAGAATAGCTAATACCTCTCTTCTCCAGGACACCTCTCCTTGTAGTGTGGCACTGCAAAAATGACTCAAATGGCAAAAACTCCTCTGCATTTACACGGAAGTGCCTAATTATGTGGAAGTGGTAAAAATCTGTATGCCAACAGGCGAAGTCAAAAATACCAAGCCCATACTAGGTGGAGACATAGCTGAGCGGATATAGGTATAAATCCCAACCAACTTTTAGCTCCAGGCTTCTGGATCAAGGAATTGTCTGAACAGTAAGAAAAGAAAGCAAGCAATGAAAATCAAGCATAATATGATAGCAATGGGAGACCTTAGTTACTTAGCATCTGGTTAGACAGTACCAGGTTTAAAGCAATGATTTAATCAGATCTTTGTGGGATATATTACCTAAGATACATGAGCCTGTTTAACAGCATTTACTGCCCAAAATGGAAATC